AGTTGTATCTTTGTTGAATCTTTGTTGTATGTTTGCTGTATCTTTATCATATCTTTGTTGTATTTTAGTTGTATCATTGTTTAATCTTTGTTTTTTCTTTGTTTTATTTTAGTCGTATCTTTGTTTTATCTTTGTTGAATCTTAGTTGTATATTTGTTTTATCTTTGTCATATCTTTGTCGAATCCTTGTTGTATCTTTGTCGTATCATTGTTGTATTTTTGTTGTATCTTTGTTGCATCTTTGTGTATCTTAATTGTATCTTTGTTGTATCTTTGTTTTATTTTAGTTGTATCTTTGTTGTATCTTTGTTGCATCTCAGTTGTATCTTTGTTGCATCTTTGTGTATCTTAGTTGTATCTTTGTTGTATCTTTGTTTTATTTTAGTTGTATCTTTGTTGTATCTTTGTTGTATCTTTGTTTTATTTTAGTTGTATCTTTGTTACACCTTTGTTGCATCTCAGTTGTATCTTTGTTGTATCTTTATTGTATCTTTATTGTATCTTTGTTGTATTTTTGTTGTATTTTTGTTGTATTTTTAATGTATCTTTGTTATGGCGATGTAGCTAAGAGCAGAATGCACCCTGCCGGAGCAATCCCACGCCTACCGCTACAACCATTAGTGAACAAGACGTCACTTCAAGGAAAGGCTACCAGTACAACCATAAGCAAACAAGACGTCACTTAAACGAAAGGCTACCACTACAATCATAAGCAAATAAGAGGTAACTTCAAGGAAAGGCTACAACTACAACCATAAGCAAACAAGAATTCACTTCAAGAAAAGGCTACCACTACAACCATAAGTAAAAAAGAGGTCAATTCAAGTAAAGGCTACCACTTCAACTATAAGTAAACAAAAGGTCACTTCAAGAAAAGGCTACCACTACAACCATAAGTAAACAGGATGTAAATTCAAGGAAATGCTATCACTACAACCATAAATAAACAAGAGGTTACTTCAAGAAAATGCTACCAATGCAACCATAAGTAAACAAGACGTCACTTCCAGGAAAGGCTACCACTACAACCATAAATAAACGGGACGTAGCTTCAAGGAAAGGGGCAATCAAGGTAGACATCGAAAGGGATTCATTTTTATTTTTTTTGTGTGTGCACTTTACGAATAACCAGGCACCAAAAAGCCGTTAGACATAGAAATGTGAAACTGTTGCCCAACGAACTACGCAGTACAGGAGAAATCAAGATTGAGAGGCTAAGATGACGTAACAAATGCTATTTAAAGAATTATTGTATTTACATTGTGTATGTGAAAATGGTAATTTAATAACATAGTTAAAAGATTACCTTTACTTTTACGGGAACGAGTACACTGTGACGCTTCAGGTGGTTCCCTTCTGTGTCCAGTGTATCCGCACGAACAACACACAACGCCCGTGACATTTACACACGGCACAGCGACACATTGGTCCCCACATTGGGAGCATTTCTCACATGACCCCGGTTCTCTCTTGTCGCCATCTTCAATGTAGAAATATCCATCTTCGCAGCCAAGTTTAGCGTTAGAATCCGCCGAGCAAGGTTTCAAGATAATTTGGTGATCTTCTTCCGGTTTCATGCACTTAAAACAACTGTTACAGGTATGGTTGTCCAAGTCCATGTAATAACCGTGTTGACATGGTTGACATATGTTACTGACAGATTCATTATACTGTCCCTTTAAACATAGGCCGGGCTTGCAGTAGCTCCAATATCCGGCTGTCAGGGGGATGCTCAACAAACACACAAGAATGCCAACTAGAGACGTTTCCAACATGGCTGCCATCGAAAAGTTGAACAGGAAAAGGAAAAGGGAGATCACTTATACTTCTTGAACGTATTGACGTCACAGTTGCCTAAGACTATTGTTGTATGTTGTAATTCACAAAAACCTTTCAATAAGAAGAGCTGTAGAATAGTATCTAGCAATTAATCGAGTAATCCGATAAATTAAGGAAAACTCGTGCCCTGGTCATTGCAAACAAAAGACTTTTTTCTGTTTCTACTTTATACTTATATACCGCAGTTACGAAATACTTGACTTTATCGACCCACACAAAGTTGCGCTGGGTAACGAACGGATCCATGTAGGCAGCAAGGGGTCCTTTTCTTTAAGGTTTAATCACATTTATTTTAATTTTAGTGCACGCCACTAAAGATAACATTTTATCTCCCCCCCCCCACGCCCAACCCACAGCATAACAGTTACCTCTTGACATGAGATGGAGATCGAAAAGCCACCTTAATAGAGTTCTGTGATTATTGCGCATCGAATGTTGTGTTTTATTGTGTGCTTTGTATCTTGTGTTTTAGTTTGCTTGATGAACTTGTTTTGGACGCATTCATGACGTGTTTTTTTTTATGTGACGTAGTGTCTAGACTGTCTTTGGTTACGTCCCATTCGTTTAGCAGTTTTGTGTCTGAGCATTGAGTGAGAAGGTTGTACTGTATTTCCCTCCAGCAAGCTGCAGTGTGTGTTTGAGTGATTGCACGACCAGATGATATATAACAATGGGTTGGAGTTGACGTTGTTTCTGGAATAGGACTTTGGTTCGGTTCTTATAAGATTACGGTATATGAACGTGTGAACGAATTTAACGTTAGTAACCCAAACAGTACGGACGCGAAAACAAATCACTTTAATCAGTTCACTCTTTAGTTGTTAATGTATGTATTAATATTTTAACTTTGTGAGTTAGGGAAAGTGTAAGAAACAAAAACATACATATCAAACAAAACTGGGATTGATATGGGACTGTGAAAGATTCCATCAACAAAACTATCGCCTTTTTGGTCAGATCCATAGAAGCGCGTTAATCTATCGCCCCCAAATATAGAGAATTTAAGATAAAATTGAAGCGTGACCAAAAAGGCCCAAAAGACTTTCATCCATCTACCGCACCATGGCAACCCCGCCCCAATAACCCCTGGACTTCACAAAGTAACATCCTAAACCTCATGGTCGGACCTGCGCCCCGACAACCCCTAAACCGTTCTCTTCCAAGAAAATGTTGGGATCCACCTACCACTTCAGTGGTGTCGCAATCTGGCATTGGCGATTGTCCAAATAAAAAATCTATGACATGTATCGACTATTTTGGCTAGCACAAGCCTCAAAAGTACACACCTTTACAATGTACGATCTATACATTCAACCAACTCTTGGTAACAGTGTAATAACCACCCTCTTAACCTTACATCAGAGGTTCTCAAAGGTGATGGTACCAGCCCTAGAGATCCTTATTGCACTTTGGGAGTCACTGTGAGATATTAAGGTGGGCTAGGACTACCAATGGGCCCATTGTGATTTATAATAGGAATTTGGGTTTAAAATAGAGTTGCATATTTTTTAAAGGAAATTTAAATGCTTTTTATTGTTGGCGTCAAATAAGAGTCGAGATGAGATATCTGTTTTTGTCCAACACAAAACGAAGAGAGAGAACGCGTTTTATCCAACTTGCACATAGCCGGGATTAACAATAATACATTTAAACTTGACACGTTGTAAGTGGACAAAACGAATTACTATTGAATGGACTTGACAAATTTAGCAAAAGACGTCCAACAATGCTTTGAAATGCTTCCAATGAAAACATCAGCAACTTGCGTGCATCATATGGTATGAAATAGCTTTGTTGATCTCCACATAGGGAAAGTCAGGAGTAATCTGTGAAGAATCCATCTTGTCAGTGATTAGCCTTGTTGTTATTCCATAGACACAAGGGTGAAATTATGGATGATTAGTTACAAAGCATTTTAACATCAACAGACAGCATAACAACTGGATGAGTTAACTTTCCAGAAAATGAGTTTTTGCGTCTCCCTTAAGTGCGTTTGTAATTGACATGCGTTTGTATCAAGACAATGAAAGAACAAACAGAAAGATGTGTAGGAGGTTTGCTGTAAATATTTGTCTTTTATGGCAGTTTTCCCACCACAAACAAAGGCCACTAAAACTATTGCAAGGGGCTGAGCACCGTACATTTCTGACGCCAACTGTTGGCTTTTGGCTAACTTGAAAGCAAATAAATTGATTAACAACAAGAACAGCAAATGGCCAAATAGCATTATTCTTTTACTCCATTCTTGACAGCCCTCTAGTTGCTAAAAAAAACTCACTGGCTGTCATACTGCAGTGAATGAAATTTAAGTACACGCTCACAGTCATTGGCTATTTCTGACGCTCTGTGTTGAGAAGGACGGAGATTTTTGTGGTTACGTACTGGCGTTCGCTGGCACAAATCCTTCAATGGTTGCTGCCTCCATAGACAACATAACACGGGGCATGGCCTCTTTTAAATCTTTTATATTAACTTCGCTTTTAATTTTGTTTCTTTAATGATTTTTTGCAAAATCTTCGGACGTCTAATTGACCCACTTCACGTCAAGCTATCAAACTGATACTTGTCACATGGACTCGTTACCGATGACCACACAACCGTTCAAATTTTCAGACCCACTTCCCACCCACAAACCCCCAAAAATAGGTTTTTCTGTTTTCCAAGGAAAGGTGAAGAAAGTATGACGCCACTGATTTCATGAAATAAATTCCCGATAACTGCGCTAAATGAGATTCTTTAACAAAAATATATCACAGGTGCGTCTGGTGCGTACTATTTTCTTTCATTTTTTTTCTGATATAGTTAGTGAGATAAATCTGTGGTGTAAAAGTGGGTGGGTCACTGAGATATTAATATGTGAGTTTGTGTTGGTGTGTATGCTTGTGTTGGTGGGTCCGGAGGCATATGTGTATGTTTGTGTTTTGATTATTGTATGAATAAAATGACCTTAATCATTCAAAGGTTGTCTGTGTCTTCTTCAACATTCCGACAAGATACCTTAAAATATGCGTCTTAACGGTTCAATTACAACTGGCGAAAGGCTGCCCTTTAAACCCGCTGTCCCCTTAAACCTGCTGTCAATTTAAAGTCATTACAATACAATGATCGTCCGTTTACAAGTTGAGCTGTGAGTTCTGCTTGACTGGCATTTCTTTAGTGTGGCTTACGTCAGGCGTGTATATCAGCAAATCTAAAAGAGCTGTCGGTGCATTGATTTAAAACATGTTTTCAATCCGTGTCGTCAGTAATAGTTCATTGCTTCGTACAAATCAGGAGTATTGAATTCTTGGGTCGTGATAGCTGTATGACGCGTCAACAGCCCTTTAATCTTGTCTGTCTAGCATACGTGTTGTGCCATGTTGGAGAAATTTATAATCGCCTTGATACTTTCCGCTTTGATCTGCCACAAGGTTTGCAGCTTGTGTGAAGATGGGCCATGTAGTACCGGTCAATACTTAAACGATGCTGACGAAACGTGTCATCCATGTCCATCTGGTCAGTACATGGATAAAGAGAACCACCAATGCAGAAATTGTTTCCCTTGTAAGAAAGCGGACGGGTCACGTGAGGTGATCCTCAAACCGTGCACGGATTTCGCTGACGCGGAAATTGGCTGCACAAAAGGGTATTTCTATGAGAAAGACAGTGATGTGAGAGAGAAGGGATATTGTGAAGAATGTTCGACTTGTGGAGACAAATGTGAACTTGTGCCTTGTGGAAATCACGAAGATGTGCAATGTTGTCCATGTCGCCGGAATAGAAACCAGCCCGAATTGTTTGAATGTGTTGATTTACAAACAGGTAACGGTTAGCACAGCTATTGATACTTTAATAATCATGCATACTTTTATATTACGTCGACACAGTGGCGTATAAAGGGGGTGCTGAGGGGTCGGTCTACCCAAAGGAGGAACTTTTTTCTTCTTATGGAGTAATGGCATTTTTGGCCAACTGCAAGAGTTTTTTTTTTCCTGAAGGGCGGATTAAAGCTTGGTCACCTTGAGTGGCACCAACCTGGCAGCAGCGCCTCGAATTTGAAGTGTCATAAAAACTTGATTCGATAGGTTTGAAAAAGAGCGTTGAGACGTGGCCGCAAAACTAAGACATTATAATGCATACAAAATAATATAATATAGAAACCTTTCTCTCTTGCTTTTAAACGCCTTGCAACTACAAAGTTAAGGTAATCATGTGTTCGCCTGATAAAAGTGTTCCTAGTGATCTTAGGCCACTGCAACCTATGCGGGCCCCGCTCTTTCATAGCCCCCGCGCTAATTTATTTTATAATACAAAATCTTAATTTTCACGAATTATCCGTATCCCTACCCAGACTGGGCCCCGCGCAATCCGTTTCGCATAGGGCCCCGGAATTGTTAGGGCCGGCCCTGGTGATCCACAGATGTTTATATATACATTTATATACCCCGTATTCACTAGAGCTGGTCGTTATAATGTGAATATTAAATACTAGAAAAGCAAATAAATTATTTAAGTTCAAAAGTTAATGTTAAAAATAAAATGAAGTAGTATCAGTGGCCAGGGTACCAGTCGGGATGGGCCAAGATTTGCCGCCCCCTTCACTGGAAAACTCCGCAGTTGATAAAAAATTTCGCCCTCAATATAAATGAACAATGTTCCACCGGTTGATAAGCGTCCGTGGCCGAACGCCTCTAGACCACGGAGCAACACCACTGCACGGTGGTGCCACATGGGATTTCGCCTCTTCGTGGCGTGGACGACTAGTAGGGGGGGGGGAACTCACCGAAGCTAAAAAATCCTGACCCACTTGCATGACTTCCAACGCAACGGAAGGCTCGCACTAACATGATTATTTGTTGCCGGTAATGGGTATGAGGCAATGGGTGGCAGCCCAAACCTTTCCGATGATTTAAAAGACGCGGCCCTGAGAAAGCTGCACCTAGGCGACCGTTTCGTCCCCGCTATGTCCCGACCGGACATCTCCCTGGGCGGTGGGGAGTGGTAACGCAACACCATCTCCCCGGAGAGGAAGCAAAGCCGTCGTGACCCATAGGAGAGTGGACTGCGGACGCTTTAAACGCAGTGTCTTCGGTCGACCGGACGTCCCTCAGGCCAGGAGGGAGGTTCATGGCGCGCTTCCGCCGGGCCTGGAGTCGGGGAGACCCGGCTCTGGCCCCTATGGGGGAGTGCCGGGGGGGTATTATGAGTGCAAACTCGACGACCCACCAACACCATCTCCAAAGTGATGTTATAAGCCACTGACTAGTATTAGCATAGGCTGCTATAAATTATGTGATGTGGTGTGCATTAGGTACTCCTATGTCTGTAGATGTTCTCCTATTTCTGTAGATGTACTCCTATGTCTGAAGATTTCTCCTATTTCTGTAGATATACTCCTATTTCGGTACGTGTACTCCTAGTTCGGTACATGTACTCCTTTTTCGGTACAGGTACTCTTATTTCGGGTCAGTTACTCTTATTTAAACCATTTTGTTTTCACCCACACAAGAGGCTCCTGATTACTTTAATGATTTTTACAATTGTTTCAAGGGGTTGGCGGCGTTTAAAGGCGTACTTGTTTTTTAAACACACCTAACGTGCAATGGAAACGAAACTTCTTCATAACACCGAGATATTTTATTGAAATAAAATCTATTTGTTCCTTAGACATTTACTACATTCGTATTTAGCAGATTATTCTTGACGCCCACGGGCACGTTTGAACGTTCTTGCCTTAATGCGTCAAACGGCAATAAGTTATTTGGTGTTTTTATTGTCGGTGATTCTTTGTTTCTGTTTGTAGACCAACCAAGCCTCAGGAAAGAAACCGTGTTGATGGTCAACCAAGATGACCAGCTGCCTGATATCGTTTACAGACTTAGATATCTTGTCACGATCCTGAGCTTTCCATTGTGTTGTATCCTTTGTATCATTTTTTATTCAGTCTTTGGCTCATCTTGCAGACGTGGACAGTACTGCTACATAAAATAATTACCGACGCCCCTGCCATTCCAGAGGTGTCACATATTCCCAGCTACTGTAGACCAGTTAGCTAACTAATTATAGGTGTGCCACGTGTAACATCATCTATATAAACTTATAAATAACTATACTGGCTTCAATGCTTTTTCTTATACTTACTAACACCACACTCACACGCAGAGAAACAAAGAGGAAGACGGAGAGAAGAAAGAATGAGAGAGAGAGAGAGAGAGAAAATATGAGCAAAAAGGTCAAATTAACCTTATGACAGATTATAACGGAGTTACAATGTTGAGAAGCCTGTTACAACCTATTGTCGTTCCAATAGAGATACATGGCACAAGCATGATGAGATGTCTTTCAACAATTTTTCTGTGTACAACGATCTAGTTTTAGGTTTTTCAGAATAATAACATTTCTTTTTTTTTAAATGAAAAAAAAACAACAGTATGTCAGTAACAATGTTATAAAATGTATACACGCCCCAATGTGTATGTGTAATGTATATTGAGATAAGAAGTCATAAATGAATACCAAGGAAACATTTGTAAAACTATTTTTTGTTTGTTTTGTTTGCGGTTTTAAAAATACATTACTTTTCGAATTTCTTTTCTTGGTTCGTTTAATTCTTAATAATAAAGCTTTTAAGACATCTATGTGTTTACTACCAGCGATTGTTAACTAATTGGCACTCAAGGAACAATCTCTGAAAGAATTTTTGTATGTATAAATATAAAAAAACGTGATAAGAGATGCCCCTTCCATTTCCTATCCACTGGCACTAATGCAGTAACTAGCCCCAGGGATGGCATGTAAATCTCACTTGATCCGTGGTGACGCAAGGTTTCAGTTTAGCAGTGCCTCCGTAACGTGGTTGTCACTACAGATGAGCAGAGTCTTAAACATATTAAACCAAAAAGATGGCAGAAAAAAATTCTGCAATAGATAACATATACTAATGTGAAACCTCAACTTGCCCAGCTTTTCAGTTCAAAATGATTGCGATATCTGGCGCAATATTCCATCTAAGAAAATCTTGTTCCTTGTTCGAGAAAATTTGTTTTCTAAATTAATTCTCGTTTATTAGAAAAGTTTTATTGAATAAAGATAAATCTATCCAGCCCTTCACCTCCCTAGACTGGCTTGTTTCGAGCGATAATTCCACAGCCTTCTGACAGTGACAGCAGCATTTATGCTGATCTGGGCATGGCTTACTTTGCCAAGTCGACATTGATCAAAGGAAACAATGTCTTTTAAAGTAATTGATTATAGAAGAGTTGTCCCAACTCCACCTTCACCCCCATATCGTTTTACCAAATGGCTTATAGATAAGGTTAGGTAATAAAAACAACGTTATTTTTATGTGGACCATCACGCTTGATCATATTAAAATCAAGGGGCTTACTTGAAGGGGGTTGGGAGGGGCTTAGTGAGAGAGGGTTGGGAGGGGCTTAGTGAGAGAGGGTTGGCAGGGGCTTAGTGATAGGGGGGTTTGGAGGGGCTTACTGAGAGGGGGTTGGGAGGGGCTTACTGAGAGGGGGTTGGGAGGGGCTTACTGAGAGGGGGCGAGATGGGCTTAGTGAGAGGGGTTGGGAGCGGTTTAAGTGAGAGGTGGTGGAACTGGGCTTATTGAGAGGGGATTGTAAGGGGCTAAGTGAGATGTGGTGGAGAGGGGCTTAGTGAGAGGTGATGGAGAGGGGCTTAGTGAGAGGGGGTGGAGGGGGCTTAGTGAGAAGGGGGTGAAGACATCTTTGCGCCTCAGAATAATGACAAGTTGTTTCAACATGGCGCCACAGAATCATGACAAGTTGTTCCACCATGCTGCCACAGAATCATGACAAGTTGTTCCACCATGCTGCCACAGAATCATGACAAGTTGTTCCACTATGCTGCCACAGAATCAAGAAAAATTGTTCCACCATGGCGCCACAGAATAATGACAAGTTGTTCCACCGAGACTTGGAAAGATTTGTTCACGAAAATATTTTTGAAATTTTACAAATTAAACATGTTTCAATACTGCATTATGGATAAACGCTATAAATTTAAGTCCTATTAAATATAGCGTCTACTTACATTATTCTGAACATTTTGTTACATGAAACAAGTTAAGCTTCCTTATTTTAAAATAACATTTCTTGTGTAATAAGTCCTAAAAATAATTTTAAAATATTTTTTCTTTGCGTAACAAATCGTTTGGAAAATGCCATTCTATAAGCTTGTCCCTTATAGTCCGTTGAAGCTTAGCCGCATTTATTTAATTCTTTTAAATTATCCATTGGTGGAGCTGCAAAGGACTCACAATATTTTCGTTCAACCGGTTAATATGGAAATATTTTTGGGCTTTAAAAAGTACAATTAAGTTTCGCTGAAGATCATTTTTAGCTTGTCAACATATTCGTAAGTATGATGATGATTACAATTCAACAGTATTCTCTAATAATGATGTCTCACTCGTCTGTTGTAGCCACACAGATTTGTATGACCAATGTCAGCCGTGCTACCCGTTACTTTATGCACCACTTAACACTGTACTCGGTTGCAATCAATAAAGGAACAACTCCATATGTTATGTCACACAAGGTCCTTCTTGCATTATATGACAAAGGTCTCCCATGAATTGATTTTTGTCCTACACGTAAAAACGTAGGACATGTCTCCTTTGGTGCTACGACTGTGTTTGGTGACGGCTTATGAATAGCTTGCTGAGTTAAATACATGATTCTTCACGGGGTTGTACCCTTGTTGTCTGACCAGCAGAAGTTTAGTCACGCCAAAATTTCATTATTCTGATCATATATAAACCAGGAAGCTATAGCACCATTTCCTTAGAAATCTGGCTTGGTCATGAAGTTATTTTTAACGAAAATTTTTAGAGATAATTCAAAGTTGTTGAGAATAACCAACTATTCAAAATTGTAGAGATTATTTAAAGTTGTAATGATTATTCAAAATTGTAGAGAGTATTCAGATTTGTAGAGAGTATTCAAAGTCTTAGAGACCATTCAAAGTTGTATAGAGTAATAAAAGTTGTAGAGATTATTCAAAGTTGTAGAGAATATTCAAAGTTGTAGAGAATATTCAAAGTTGTAGAGATTATTCAAAGTTGTAAATATTAATCAAAATTGTAGACATTATTTAAAATTGCAGAAATTATTCAAAGTTGTAGAGATTATTCAAAGTTTTAGAGATTATTCAAAGTTGTAGAGATTATTCAAAGTTGTAGAGATTATTCAAAGTTGTAGATATTATTCAAAGTTGTAGAGATTATTTAAAGTTGCAGAATTTATTCAAAGTTGTAGAGATTATTCAAAGTTGTAGATATTATTCAAAGTTGTAGAGATTATTTAAAGTTGCAGAAATTATTCAAAGTTGTAGATATTATTCAACGTTGTAGAGATTATTCAAAGTTGTAAATATTATTCAAAGTTGTAGACATTATTTAAAGTTGCAGAAATTATTCAAAGTTGTAGAGATTATTCAAAGTTTTAGAGATTATTCAAAGTTGTAGAGATTATTCAAAGTTGTAGAGCTTATTCAAAGTTGTAGAGATTATTCAAAGTTGTAGAGATTATTCAAAGTTGTAGAGATTATTCAAAGTTGTAGATATTATTCAAAGTTGTAGATATTATTCAAAGTTGTAGAGATTATTTAAAGTTGCAGAAATTATTCAAAGTTGTAGATATTATTCAACGTTGTAGAGATTATTCAAAGTTGTAGACATTATTTAAAGTTGCAGAAATTATTCAAAGTTGTAGAGATTATTCAAAGTTGTAGAGATTATTCAAAGTTGTAGAGATTATTCAAAGTTGTAGAGATTATTCAAAGTTGTAGAGATTATTCAAAGTTGCAGAAATTATTAAAATTTGCAGAAATTATTCAAAGTTGTACAGATTCTTTAAAGTTGTAGAGATTATTCAAAGTTGTAGATATTATTCAAAGTTGTAGAGATTATTCAAAGTTGTAGAGATTATTCAAAGTTGTAGAGAGTATTCAAAGTTATGCTGAAACCAACATACAAAGAAAAACGATACCAAAGTTCGCGATATTAAAGTTATAATTTTTTAATTATAATATCAATTTTATTTAAAAATACAAAATCCAATACACATAATGTAAAAATTATATCAACTTATACCACAACAAGTGAAATGATATAATGATTGAAAGATACAATAAATTAAATATTAAAATATACACGAGTATAATGGTTTATGGCTGCTATAAGTGTATTACGAAATATAGTCAATATCTTTCAGGGCAAGGAGACTACTGGCTTATTTATAGGGATGGTGTTTAGAACCCTCCAGAAAAAGAAATTCTAGACATTTCATCCCCTGATATATTTTTTTAGGCAAATTAGAACGTACTCAAACGTAAACAGCTGTCCCATATATGCATATGTAAACCACTAATCTTAATTGGAGACAAGTAATATGGTTAATACTTCTTGTATAACATACAGAGTGTTTGGACTTAGGAGGAACTGGCCAATCAGTGTTTTGGTTGAAGAAACAGTTTGTTTTGTATCAAGATTTGTTGATAAAATCATCAAGTAAAAGTAAAAGAAGATACTGTTTAATAGTGATTGAAATTCATGTTATAAAATTCCAAATCTGTTCATATTATTGTGAATCGTCCTGGGTATTATTTATAACGATTTATGACAGTGACGCTGTGCTCGATTTTATGACAACAACCTTTTCTCAGTCCAGGCAGCAGTTGGCACAGAACTTCATTTGATCGTTGACACACCGATGTAAAAACAAAATAAGGAGAGACAATTGGTGGTCTCAGGACAAATGAAAATATCACAAGGAACAGAGCATAGTAAACAACTCAGTAAACAATAATTGAGGGCAAACGCTGTTAGTGCTCAAGGAAGATTAGGGTGAGCAGTTGAAGTTAACCAAGTAATTCAACGCATCACTAAAACCAAAAACAAATGAACAGATTTTAAATATGTCTGCTCTAAGAGCATTTGAAGACCTTACACCGCTCGTAGAGTAGGGCTATCACCTTTGTGTGTGTTTTTTTTTTAATTTAAAAGAAAAATCTTGACCGTTCGTCCCTGTTCGCTAGGCATGTTAGGCATGTTAGGCATGTTAGACATGTTAGGCATGTTAGGCATGTTAGACATGTTAGGCATGTTAGGCATGTTAGACATGTTAGGCATGTTCAGTGTCAATCTAAAAGTGCATCATATGATTTACGCACTATGTTTATGGTTTAACGGTTAATAAGACATCTGCATACATGACTGATATTAGACAAGATAACTGGAACAACGACTAATATTACATAAGACGACTGCAACACGAATAATATCATCAGTGCAATCTTAAGGCATGGGCACACTATGCCCTTGCCCACGACCTAATGCTTCTAGGCAGCCTCACGCCTCTTGGGGGCCTCACAGTTTTAAGGGCATTTTGCTGAAAGTATTTTAAATTAATAATATTTTTTTTTGCAATTTAATTTAGTTTCAGCGATTAGATCATTCCTCCAATTTTTTAAAACACGTTTTTCGATGTTCACATCAATTCAATTTATTTATTACTTTTAGAAAACGTTTCTTTGATACATTTTGAATGAGAAAAGTATCCAGATATTTGTTTGTGGTGGGAGTCGTAGAGAGGAGTAGTACATTAAAGAGTTTTACAAAGGCCCCATACATAAGTAAATTATTAAGTCATTTAAAAAAAGAAGAAAGTTATAATGTTTATAATTGTAGAAAGTCCAAATAAACCTTTGAATTTACTGCATTTTTTTGGGCATTCCTGACTGCTTCGACTTCCCTCAGATATTCATCTATTAAAAACATATGACGCTATTTGTAAATATTTCCTTTGCGTTTTTATACTATTTAGATACACTTAATAAATTAATGACATTTTTTAAATAGCCATAATAAATCTATAGACATCTTTTTTTTCACAACAGTATTTTATCTCTTTTTTGTAACTGTAAATTTTGGAAAAAAACTAATTAAGTTTTAAATTAATGCAAAATGTTTATTATCATACAAATATACTAATATACTATTACACTTATAGTTTGTTTGCTGTTATTTTTTAAGAACAACTGTCTTGAATGAAAATCTTTTTTTATTACAAATTCATTCATTGATGAATCAGTTTAAAGTAATAAATATTTACAAAAATTAACGAAAACAACAATTCTATTTAGATACACCTAAAAATAAAAAAGGAATTGTGTAAACTATCCATGGAACCTAAATTTCAACTAACATCAGAATCTTTTTTGTTGCCAGCCCGCTAAGTGTAGAATGATGCAAAACTTAATTCATATGTGTGCCAAAATGCATCACATCATTTTGAAGCTATGAAGACTTTTCTGGGGTTTGATTTACTAAGACCCCTAACCATAACTTAGCACAAGTTTCGTTCGGCGCCCTCAATCTCTTCTCCCTTCATACTACAAATGTCGAAATTGACACATTTTAATCTTTAAAAAATCGTTGGCAAACTAGCCTGGGTCTCCACTATCATAATGAATTTATGGATATGTATGGTGGGGGCGATAAAGACAAAGCTTGCCCTGGGCGTCAAAATGCCTTATTTGGATGCTGGTTGATACCCTTTGCCCGGCCCCTCCCCAGAAGCCTGAAATGCCACCCCCCCTTCCCGCGGATAACATTACCTGAAAGAAAAATGGCCACAACGCATGGAACCACCTGGGCCATAATGCTTTTTATACAATTGAATAGGAGGCTATAGACAGAGTTGTGCCGAGGAAAAGCGGCGCCCAGGGCGGCCTGGTAAGACGATTTTGGCACCCCTGTGTAAGTGAAGTGCAATTCGATGTTAATGGGCTATCCAAAGACGATTTTGGCAACCGCAATGCTTTTCCCCTCCTTCGCTTGGCCCTGAGTATATAGAGGGACATGGGGGGCCTCAGTGTTTTACTTTCCCCACGGCCCCACTGCAGTAAAAATGGCCCTGCATACGACAACTACTTACACGACACATATTACATAAAACAACTACAGCAACGACTAATATCTTACACAACTAATGCAATAACGACTAACATCACATAAGACGACTGCCGAAGCCACTGCACACAAAACCTACTGCACACAAAACCTACTGCACACAAAACCTACTGCACACAAAACCTACTGCACACAAAACCTACTGCACACAAAACCTACTGCACACAAAACCTACTGCACACAAAACCTACTGCACACAAAACCTACTGCACACAAAAGCGCTAGGGGACAAAAAAAAACCACTGGACACAAAAGTCACTGATCACAAAATTTGTGGCATTACGTATGCATTTAAAAAAAATAAAGGTTAATTCTAATTTTATAAAGCACGAATAGAAAAGACCTTATAATAAACATAATCTACAAAAAAGAATAATAATTACAAAATATATTTTTTTCATAGTATAAATCTAGAAAATGTTGAATTTACTAGCAACGTTGAGAAATAGTCTTAAGTGTTGATGTCTTTACAGTTAAAGTGTTCAAATAAAATAATAAAAGACAATTTAAAATGAATTTCTGTTTAAAATTAACTTCTTGAATTTTTTTGAATTTTTAATCCAACATGCTAGTCCTATAAGAAACACAATAATTATCGGAATAATCACAGCATAAAAGAGGTACAACATTCTATCTCCAGTGGTCTCGAACTCAGAGCCGTCATTCAGTGTGCGGTCTGGCGAATCTTGGGAGCTGAAAGGAACACTGGCTTCCTCTGCGTCTCTACCTGATAAACGTTAGAAAAATGTGCTTCATCAGAATATAGAAACGGTGCTCATTTAGGTATCGCAATGATTTTTTCCCCAAACTTTACGAACTGACTGGGGTGAAACTCCGGCTGTTATAAATTTAAAAAGAACACTATTGATGTAGAAATCGTCATTATGGGATTGAGCAGTTACGATAAAAGATGATTTTGAACTTGATAGAATTTTAAAAAATCACACGTCTTAACATTGATAGTTCCATAGTGTGCTGGTAATGGACTTCGCAAAGGCATTTGACCGTGTGAACCATAGTTTGCTTCTACACAAACTCCAGATATATGGGATTCAAGGCCCCACTAAAACATGGATCTCTAGCTTCCTCAGCCACCGACGCCAAGCAGTAGTGGTGGGCGGTACAAGCTCCTCCTTTGTCGATGTGAAGTCAGGGGTCCCCCAGGGATCAGTGCTGGGCCCCTGTTTGTTCCTAGCATACATTAATAACCTATCCGAGAAACTGACATCACAAGCAAGACTGTTCGCAGATGACACAGCAGTGTATAGGACGATCGCCAACAGATCGGACCAGGACCAGCTACAACAGGATCTCAATCTGTTAGCTGAGTGGGAGATGAGCTGGGACATGGAATTTCACCCTGCCAAGTGCCAGACACTATCAGTCTCTAGAAGTTGTACTCCTCTACACTACCAATACGAACTGCACGGCCATATACTTGAGCCAGTTTCCTCCGTAAAGTACCTGTGTGTTACCATTCAAAGAGAGGTCCGCTGGGACGATCATATCTTCTTCTTCTATATCTTAAGGGCCCACGATCAATTTATTGATCATTTTGGCTCCTATATTAACATTTATTCAGATGTTCATTTGATGGGGCTATTGAAGCAGTTATTTAGATAGTCATATGATTGGGGTATTAAAATAAATTAAGTATTCAAAATGAAAATCAGAAATAAAATACTAATTAAAATCTTGAGAAAAATATGGAATGACTTCTTAGTAATATCTTTATTGTATCCTAGTTGTAACTTTGTTGTATCTTTGCTATGACGATGTACGTGAGAGCACTTCGACCACGGAGTGCACCCCCCCCCCCAAACCCCCAAAGGGCGAATTAAAGAAGACACCACTAGGAACTTAATTAACTGAAATTTATGAATAACCAGGTGCTCTAAAAGCCGTCAGACATAGAAATGTGGAACTGTTGCACAACAAACTGCACAGTACAGGAGAAATCAAGTCTGAGAGACATGGGCGCCCGCAGAAAACTTTCTGGGGGGGGGGGAATCACTTGACTTTCCCAGGGGGGCCAACATTTTTTAGTAATGTTTTAATATAGTTTTAATTCACTGTAGCGTATTTGTATGGTGAAAGAACGGACAGGACATCAGCCTAGTTACTTTCTCTTTATTTTCTCTTTACTTTAATACGTTTTTTGTCTATTTTTGTCTAAATTTTTTTTTATCCAATCAATCCAGGGGGATGGGGGCAAGTGCCCCCCTGCCCCTACCTGCGGGCGCCCATGCTGAGAGACTATGATGACGTAACTAGAGCTAAATAAAGAATTGTTGATTTTTAAATTGTCCTTAATTAGTTATTTAAAATGTGTATATGGAAAAAATAAATAAGTGATATTTTTTTAAAAAGATTACTTTTACTTTTATGGGAACGAGCACACTGTGACGCTTCAGGTGGTTCCCTTCTGTGTCCAGTGTATCCGCACGAACAACACACAACGCCCGTGACATTTACACACGGCACAGCGACACATTGGTCCCCACATTGGGAGCATTTCTCACATGACCCCGATTCTCTCTTGTCGCCATTTTCAATGTAGAAATATCCATCTTCGCAGCCAAGTTTAGCGTTAGAATCCGCCGAGCAAGGTTTCACGATAATTTGGTGATCTTCTTCCGGTTTCATGCACTTAAAACAACTGTGACATGTATGGTTGTCTAAGTCCATGTAATAACCGTGTTGACATGGTTGACATATGTTACTATGGGAATCAAGATAGTGTCCCTTTAAACAAGGACCGGGTTCGCAGTAGCTCAACCCTTTGGTTGTCTGGTGGATGTTCAACAGAAAGAGACATCCAACTAGAAACATGTCCAACATGGCCGCCATTGAAGACATCAAAATGAAGATGTGATCATTTATACTTCCTGGAACTACTGTCGTCCCTCACATTTACTAGGTTCATTGCTGTATGTTTTAATTCACTTAAACCTATCTATAAGAAGAGTTAAAGAGTGGTATCCACGAATAAGGCACAATAACTTAGGCAAACCTCATGCCAGGTCATTTCGGGCAAGAGCCTTTTACTCCTTCGTAAGACGGCTGACACATATGTAACACATACGGAAACCTATATCACGTTTGGCAAATTGTCCGATCCATGGACAAAGCAAAGGGAACTAGCACATTAAACCACTAACGAAGGCGTTTAATTCTGACACAAGGCGTGACAAACCGAATCTAGCCGCTCAACGGACCGTTTCTGCCACGAGACTTTCATTTTAGAAGTTAGTATTGCTTGATACTTTTTGGTGGCCAGAAAGGAACATTTGTCGCTGTAACCAATTACACATACATTTTCGAGCTTAGAACTTCATACCCCGTAAAGATTCAGTAGGACGCTCACAATTTATTTATATAATAAATAAAAAAACAAACAAACTTAGGAGCCATAACATCGTTACAGACATATTGCTTGTCTGAGACCACGACACGTACTTATCACACACCTAGCGGTAGATTGAACAACCATTGGTTGACGTTGTATTCCTTGATTAATAATGATACTTAGGCGTACACACACACACACACACACACACATTAACACACTCACGTCTAACAAACCCACACCCACTCTCTATCCCATAAACATACTCACACACAAATGAGCATTTGTGATCTGAGTGCATGGACGTGCTAACTGTATGTCAACGGCTGTAGACGACGTGTTTCAATATGTGAGCTCACCATTGGTGATATCTGTCAATACCTACATCTTTTATTCCGTACTAGGTCAGCGTCCCAAACATGAAATACTAGAATTTACCGTCCACAATCACAAAGTACGTCACGCAATTTTGGACAATTTTCACCCCCCGCTCCTATCACAGCGGGTCATCAATTTTGGTTATAACCCCCCCCCCCCCACCCCTCTTTTGTTGTTCTCTTTGTTCCCCTTAAAATCACATTTCGAACTTTAAAAAAAATATGATCATTAAAATGGGCCCAGAGACGGGCAGTCTGCTTGGAAATTTTCTTTGCAGTTCTGAGAGCCCGTAGTGTACGAGTGCAAGGTGCATCATTGTAGAGAAGTAGGACATCAATAATGTATCAAGTAAATTTAATTGAGCGATTTCTTAAAAGGCTCTAGAAAGAGGACCGGTAGCAGTTATTTGTATACAAATATTCATTATGTTATTAACAATGGAATAACACAAATTTGTATTCAACTTTAACAAAAATAAATAGAAAATTGTATTAAAACCCTTTCCTTAAACTTAATGATACATTTGTACCGTGGGTTTTTTTTATTGGGGGGGGGGGGAGGAGGAGAGGGGTTTTAATAAAAAACAATCCGTGTGGAATGTTGGGGGGGGGGGATTGTTAAGTTGTTCATTACTGGAGGCGCCACAGTACAAAGCAATTTAAATAAAACCTGCTAAGTTGGGGGTTGGGGGGCTACCCAAAATGACGAACTTACATAGCGATATATGTTAAACTTCTTTCCTCCTGAACGTATCCTCTGAGTGTTTGGTAGTTCATTTACTATGACACTAACTAAAGAATTTGCCGTCTTTGTATTTGTGTTATGAGAGAAAACTTTTTTAATAAAGATGGACCGTCGGATTATAAGAAATGGCTCTATTGCCTACATGAGTCAGCACTTTACCAACACCTATCAGGATAGCGCACATGATACTCATGATAACGTGGGCGTACATATGTTTAAACAAAATTTTTTTCAAGCAAATAATTTTGTTCGTGGATACTAAAAAAAGTTGGTGGATGAAAAGATGTCTAAAGAAAATGGCGAGTGGAGGATTAGCTCTAGAGGTGGATGGATGGATCAATTGCGCTATATTAGGTGGATGATTTCATGATTAGATGATTGGATGGAATGTGAGATATTTGGAGATCTATTTAAAAACTAAATTGAATAAGCGCATGCATCTAATAAGTATCCCTAATTAAACTTGTATGTGAAAGTACATGTCAGTATCGTAAATCCATATTTGCAAATATGTTTATTATGGCATCAATTGAAAACAGATTGGAAATCATTCTTTAAACGATTAAGTCAAAAATGATATATGCATGTGTTGGTGTGTGTTTGTGTGGGGAGTAGGTGGGGGTGGGGGTTTTGGTTTGTGTTTGTGTGGGGAGTAGGTGGGGTGGGGGTTTTGGTGTGTGTTTGGGTGGGGGGTAGGTGGGGTGGGGGTTTTGGTGTGTGTTTGTGTGGGGAGTAGGTGGGGTGGGGGTTTTGGTGTGTGTTTGTGTGGGGAGTAGGTGGGGTGGGGGTTTTGGTGTGTGTTTGTGTGGGGAGTAGGTGGGGTGGGGGTTTTGGTGTGTGTTTGTGTGGGGA